AATTTGCACCTAACCTAGTCTTCATAGGTGATATTGAGCTTCTCCAAAAATTATTTTCACATATTCAACTGATCTGATTTATGTCAATATCATTGAATGAAATATATATTTATAGTCTCCATTTACATTTCTTATAAAAGGTATTTACAATTAATAAATCATTGATTGTATAAAATTCTACCATTCTATCTCCTGCCTTATTTTTGTCAGCAAGTCCACTTTTCTGAATACTCATCCTTCTTTCCTGTTCCAAACTTTTGTATTCCAATTACTCCTTATTATTCATGCATCTTGGTTGCATCTTCAATCTATTTCTGACTGCAAAGGTTTGTAGAAATCATTTATTTCCTCTTGTTTGGATCTGGGTTTTGGTACATCTCTTTTAATAGCCAATTGGCAGCACCACAAGATGGAGAAGAGATTGAGGCTGTTAATTATTTCAGCTTGCTCAGCTCCACTATCAATATTCTCAGCATCAGAAGTTAGGAAATCAGAAGAATTGCATTGGAGAAATCTGCTGTCAGGGACCTCTCCAAACTGCTAAAGAGCAATGATGTCAGTCTAGAGACTAAGATGTGCTTGATGGACAATGACTAAGAATGACAGAAGAAAAATTAATGTCTTTGAGTTTGGGTGTTACAGATGAGTATTAAGCATACCATTTATTGAAAAAAAAACAAAACAAAAGCATATCTGTCTTGGAGTGAGTGAAATAAAGTTTCTTCTTGGAGCCACGGATTTTGTGTTTCTGTCTCACATACTCTGGACACAGCCAGGAGGAACCAGTCCTTGGAGAAGGATATCATAATTGAAAAGGTGGTGGGACAGCAGAGGAAAGAAAGAACCAGGATGAGATGGGTTGATACAGTAAATGGGGAAAAGGGAGTAAGTTTTTCAGTCATTGAGACTGATTCGGGATAGAGCAGGCTTAAAAGCTAGCATACAGAGAGTCGCTATGAACCATATGCAGCTTGACACCTAACAACAACTACATAATATATATTTTGTACAATAAAGTAGTAATTTAGTTTTGCACCCTCATAGTGTTGTTAATACCTTGTGTAATAATATTAAATGTGTAGCTTGGGAGTGAGAATTTATATTCAAATTCACTGATGCCAAGACATTTCAATTCATAGCTACACTCCAGTGAATTTCTGAAACTGTAAATCATAACAGGAGGAAAATGACCATCTTGCTTCTTTGTTCCTGTTAGTAGATGGAACTTCCAGAGTTTTTCTGCCTTTTCTTATCAGTACAACACATTATGAACTGTTTCATCAGTGTCCATTATATACATATGTGTGTGTATGTGACTAAGTTATAAGTGATAGTACTTCTTTTTCAAAAGACTCTATACATTTCATAAAATATTGTAGGAAATGCAAAATAAAACACATGTTGTTGCTATGTGCCTTTGAGTCACCTGTGGCGTATAGCGACTATGTACAGTAACTCTGAAGCCTCCTCTATCTGGAGCCAGTCTTACTGACTTTGACACATCTGCTTCTATAACCCAGCTACTGTGTCAATTCATCTCTTTGGGGGTTTTCCTTTCCTGCTTTGTCCCTCTACCCTTTCAAGCTTGATGTCCTTCTCCAAGGACTGGTCCCTTCTCACCACTGCCTAAAGTATATGAGACAGAGCTTCAAAACCCTTGCCTTCTTTTAAACAATTCTTCCCTTCATCTGTTTCAATGCAATGTTTGTTATCTATCCACACTTATCCTGTATTCCTCCCAACCCACGTGTCAGACCTGCTTTATAATAGTGGTGATATTGAGTATTTGTACTTTTGTGACTAAGACATTTCACTCAGTCCTCCAGAGTCACATATGACATAATCTCAGAATAAGAGGTACATTGCAGAGGATTGGGGTGCATAGGGGTATTATGCAACAATGAATTACCATATTTTTACAAAGTTATTTGAGGGAGGGCTAAGAGAGGGAGGGGGTAAAATGTGCAAAAATTAATGAATGAAAATCTAAAAAAAATAAAAACCCTTGCCTCCAAGGAGAAACTTGGCTTCACCCTTTCCAAGACAGACCTGTTTGTTCTCCTTGGAGTCAATAGTATGTTGAATTCTCTTCTTCAGTGCTACAATATAAAGCCATCTGTTCTTCCGCCATCCTAGTCATTTTATAGTTCTCTGATATAATTTTCCAAGACATATATTTTTACTATTTTTGTAGTCTCTGGTATATTCAAACTCTCCAGGGATCCTCAGGAATATTCTGGTAGCCTATTGGAAAGAAAATGTGCTACAATACCGAACGCACATGATTCGAATCCACCAGCTGTTCTATGGGAGGATTATGGACAATCTGTCCCTGTGCAATGAACTACTCCAAAAACTCACCAGACGGTCAGCTATGTGTCGGGTCTAACACAACGGTACACAACACAACACACATGGCTGATCTTGATAGTCTTCCACACTTGTATGCATAATATTGTAAAAAGAGCAAGGACTATGTGAAAAACCATGAGTCTGACCTCTACTAACTCTATACAGGGGAACTATACTGATTAACAATATCCACAGTACAAAACTAATAGCTACAATGTCAGAAATACTATCAAATACAACTGCACTCTCTTACACCAAATACAACACAAAGTTTCCTAGAAAATAGGTCTGAAATTTGTTGCAGTGCATGCACATAGATTTCACAGAGCTGAACTCATTATTGTGAGAATTATTAGGGAGGTCAATGGGTCACTACTCATGATAAAAACCAAAGGCAGTAGAAAATTAATTACCAAATAATCCCTCAGTCCAGACAATGTTAACAGACTGGGAATAATATAAAACAACCATACAGTCCCTTACTCCCAGAAGTGAAGGCCACTGACTCTACTTCAGTGGGACAGCCCTCCGAAGTCAAATATATATCACTGTGCTTCTCCTCCAGAAAACTAATTATCTGGATTAAGTTAACACAAGTCTTCCTGCTATTTCTGTGTTGATTTGTGTATCCTCTGCTGAGGCTGCATTATTCTTATACTGTCCCCAAGCTATGATTCATGCAACTGTTGATAATATAGGCAGAGCTGAGTCACCCAAATCAGACTAACATGCTTCTGGCCAGACATATAGTAGGTAACTACGTAAACAAGGTTTCGGGGAAATAGTTTTATTGGTATGTATAAAATTATTCATATACATTATGTTTAGTACTTGCACTTCATGTTTTATAAAATCATTCATACACATTATATTGGTTAATGTATGTTATGTTTTATACAGTCATTCAGATACATTATATTTTATAACATTTTTACCATTGCATTGATCTATGCCTATTATCTCATCTTTTCAATTCCCGTTGAACCTTTCTCATTCCTTCACCACATCCTCCACCCACCAACCTCTGAAATCCCAATAATTCCTCCCCTTCTCCTTTTCCTGTTCTCCTTTCCTTTCTTCCACATTTACACATATCTTTCTCAATATCCTATATTTTCACAATAGTTATATTATATACTATTCATCCTTATGTGACTGAGTTATTTTACTCAGCCTAATGTTCCATAGATTCTTCCATGTTATATGGTATTTAATAAAATTATTGTTCCTTAGTGATGCCTAATGTTCTATTTTGCAGATGTACCACAACTTCTGAATCCATTATTTTGTTAATGAGCATTTAGACTATTTGCATTTTCTTTCTATTGTAAATAATGCTATTATGAACATCGGTATGTATCTATATATCCATGACTCAGTTCTGATTTCTTTAGGATATACTCCTAGCAGCAGAATAGCTGGATTGTATGGGATTTCTATGTCCAGCTTTTTGAGGAAATGCCAGTTGACTTTCATAGCAGGTGTACCATTTTAAAATTCCACCTGTAGTGCATTAGAGTTCTAATCTCTCTACATCCTCTTCAACATTTATTGATTGTTGACTTGTTAAACTTTGCCATGACTGTTAGATTGAGATGGTATCTGTGCTGTTACCCTAAAAGTTGCCCTTTTTTGGCACAGTTAGCCCTCTCTAGTCTCCAGATACTGTAACTTCAGACACGTGGTCTTGTAAATCAGTATGCTCTTGAAAAATCACCAAACGCTATGGGACTAGGACAAGAGAAGGAGTGCTTCCTACACTGTGCACAAGACTTGAGGTGAACAAGACTTGTGGCAGCAAGACTTGAGGAAGATTGGAACGAGACCTTGATGAGAGTTAGACACTGGTAGTGAGATCCTAGTGGTGATTGTGAATAGACTGTCGCATTTCTGTGGTGAAACTGTGGTAAATCATGACCTGAGGCTTCTTACATTGGTGTTGACCACTGTTAAATGTTTTTAGTGTTCTTGCCAGATGTTGAAGGAGAAGCTGACTTGTAAGTACTCTGAAACAAACTTTGCTAGATGATTTGAATTTGAATAATTAACTGAAACTAGAGTTTGAACTAATTGAGAAATTGTGCCTTGGAATTTGAGCTAACACTTAGACTTCTTTTGGCTAATATTCTTGACTCTTTTACTTTCCAACTTCCTAATAAACCCCATTCCAAGTACCACAACCAGGAGTATGTTAGTCAGCAATGAATAAGTGAACTTCTTGCTGTTGGTGTGGGCTCGAATGGGGCTCGACAATGGACTCTTTATCTACTACCTTCTTTGGGGCATTGAGGGACTGTGCTATTCTTACTATTTTTGTTGTTTCAGAGAGACACTCATGGCCCTGTGCCCCTATGCCTTATTTTCTCCTCTTTAGACAAAATCTTTTTGCTTTAATTTGCATCTTTCTGTTTGTTAACATTTCTTCATGTATTTCTTGACCATCTGAATGACCTTTTTGTGAAGAGTCTTTTTTTTTTTAAACCTATTTTGTGATTGAGCTATCAGTCTTTTCTTTAGGAAATCCTGTAGCATTTGTACACTTCATTTAAGATACTCTTTTCTTTTCTTTTTTTTTTTTTGGCAATAGTGAAAACTATTTTATTTTAAAAAAGAAGAAATGGGCTTGAGGGTAAGGGAGGAAGAGAAAGTTAGTCCATTCGGGCCTTCAGCGTTCTGGTAGTGATTTTATCCTTCTCAATAATGTGGACAATGACTCCCATCCCAGACACTGCATCCCGATCCACAGCATTCAGCATGGCTTGAGAGATGGTTTCAAATAAGTGGTCTGGATCCATGTTAGGTTCCCAGAGGGACTCACACATGCCGTACATTTGTTCAGCACAGGTGCCACTGACCACAAAGTCATCCGTCACCATGGGGCAGCCAATGAGGTCCAGAGAGCAAATGAACGGCTTAAAGGTCTTTGGGTCCAAGCCAGCAATGACAGGCTCAGTGTAGTAGGGACCAAACCGTTTCTCATATAAGAGGTTGGTCACCATGCTCATGAGCGTGTAAGGCTTGATCTGCCGACCTTCTTTCAGCTCATATAAGTTCAGTCGGAACTTGAGGCGTTGAGCGACGGTCTGGACGTCA